ACACACACACACACACACACACACACACACACACACACACACACACAAATACTTGCAGACACACACATGAGTAAACAGTGGGTCCTTTCACATCTCATTCCATGTTATTAGAGGTCAGGCTATATGCAGCCATAAACCAAGTTAGGTTTCCAACACTGCTTCAGTCACAAGAGATAGTCACAAGATCGAGCCGTTAGCCTCACACCTGTGAGCCCGAGGATACGAGAGACACAGAGACAGAAAGAGAGAGAGAAGTAGAGCAGGGAGAGCAAGCGTGTTTTCTAGCCTCACACTGATAAGATTTCTTACTCTGAGGCACAGAACAGCAACTTAGAGGTCATTACAGAAACATTTCTCTCTCTCGAACACACACATAAACTAGATTACACCAGCTGCTCTCACTTAAGAAACTCTTTCAGCCTTAATAACAGCAGATTAGAACCCAAAAACCCATTTTCTCTCTTCTCACCTTATTGGTTGCTGTGGCACTGGAGCCAGTTACCACGGGAACATTCGTGACCTGTACCGACAGATAGTCATTATCGATGAGAGGCCACGCCCCCTCCACCTTGCAAGTCTGGAAGCTGTCCTTAAACGTCCTCAGGTGTGGGTCCCCGAACAGCCCGCAGAACAGGTAGACGGGCCGAGAGTGGCCGTGGTCACGGCCGTGGTCGTGGCCTTGAGCATGGGAGTGCGTGTGTGCGTGCACGTGGGTGTGGGAGTGGGTGTCGGCATGCTGGGTGCGACTGTGGTAGTTGCAGGGCTCGTGTTGGACCTCGGGGTGCGTGGAGGACGTGGGCCCATCTCTGGAGCAATTCCTCTGGCTCATGAGGTCTGAGATGCCCAGCACGGCCGAGTGGAAGACCAGATTCCCCCGGCAGGACTTGGCGGTCCTCTGGGTGCAGGCCGAGTACGCACGTAAAGCCATACAAAACTCTGTGTGAAAGCCATCCACGGCCGGAGTCAGGTGGGAGGTCAGGGAGACGAAGTCGGTTGTGCACTTCTGGATACGGCACTGAGGGGTTGCCACCTGGCACTGACCTAGAGAGGACAGTCAGCAGAAATACTGTGAGAAAAGTGATATCATCACAGGAACAGTAACAGTGATAGGGGACCAGCTAAATTGGCCTTAAAGATCATCACATGTCTGATAGTGTAGGTATTTACTATGAGAGCTGGATTTAACTAGAGATACAAAGCTCATGAGCACTCAGATGACAACTAAGGTTACTTTGAACTTAAAGACACAATGCTACCCGGTACAATCCAACCTAATAAAATTGGAAAAAAGAGCCATCTGCTGGTTCAATGTCTTGATGAATCAGTAGTGCCGCTGTGAGTGCAATAAACCTGAAGTGTAATAAACCAAAGAGCAGCCAGAGAGAAGAGATAAAGAAGGGTTTTTTTTCCACAAGAAGTGAGATAATACTTCTTATATAGCCAGGGTGCACATAACACAAACAGTGTAAAGAGAGAGCAAGACAGTACAAGGTGTGCTATGTACACAAACACACTGCCAAAGCGTATTATGTTCCATTTTGTTGAGACTGTCAGAAATATGTTGACTGAATTATGTGGTTATTTGTGATTTTGTGTGGCTTAAGCAATTATACCTTTATTAGATATAACTTTTAGTTTTCTGTGACTTTAATGGTTGTTTACAGCTATGAGCACCAGAGCAGGCTGATGCATCCAAAAGACTGATTATTCTGTCCCTGTACACACATTAGGAACACATTTCTTGGTCCGAAATTGTCCCTGATGTTTTATCTGTTGCTGTATTTCTGAATATAACATGGGTCAAACCATCCTTTTATATCATAGATCATCAGAGAGGGAGAGGGAGTTAGAGCGAGAGAGAGATTAGAGACCAGACCTAATGCATCAGTCGCAGGGCGCTCCTATTAGATTATGCCAGAGAGAGGCTCTGCAGTGTATGGCCAGCTACGGACGCACGCACGCGCGCGCGCGCGCGCAAACACACACACACACACACACACACACACACACACAAATAAATAGCTGTCTTAGAAAGAATGCTGCTTGTGCTTCCGTTAACTCACAGTCAGTGATCTTCAGATGGTGGTATGATCTCCTAATGGCCGAGCAAAACCAGAGAGTGCATGGTTTTTACTGAAATCGACGGATTCCATTAACGTCACACCATCACTTCACAACCACTAACACATAAACACACACAAGCAAACAGCACATTCCAGCTCTTCTTCTTCTTTGATTTTGGGGCATGACGGAGTCGGGCGCCACCATTTGGGGGCAGTAGTGCTCCGAGTTTTAGAAATCAAGGCGCAGGTACGGACCCCCACTTACACCGCGCTTCAGAATCTCTCTCCTGCCTGTTAAATACTGACACCAACCCACAGACACACACAAGCAAAGGCTGCCGTCCATGCCAACCACCACTGTACAGACGGTCGGAGCACTGAGGACACATTGTGTCTTTGACTGGCGCACCAACAGCCTCCTTCTTTCCTTCCTATCTGCCCCGCAGTACCTAAATACCGCTCCCAATCTAATCAGAGTGGGTTTATTCTCTGTCGAAGGGGTATCAGAATCATGAGCTGCTCTAAAAACACACAAAAGCTCTCATTCACTAACGTTTTCCCAGCAGGGTGACGTAGCAGAGAAGAGAGTCGACCCTGTAACTGAAGAACTCGGGTTCAAACCGCTGACTTATATAAAGGTTAAAACCTCTCTGATGACAAGCATCTGCTGAAGTTTCACACCAGATGACCCTGCACTTTTGCCTCCCTGTGAATGCATCACGCAAAAAGGAAGGAGGATTTTCATGCGGAAGATCAATCAAAGCATAATTTTCATATTTTTGCTCTTCAGCGTCCTTTTTAAGCACGCATAGCTGTACTTTTAAAAGAAAATCCAATCTATGCAGATAAATAAGCAATAAGTTGAGTCGATAAAGACTGAATTGACTTGAAAATATTGTTAAGAGGAGAATAAAGAACTCCTCATGTGAAGAGCTGAGGCATGAGAGCCGTTCAACACATCCAGAGCCTGGTTTGTTTCATCCCCTGGGGTGAGTCTCTAATATAGACACAATAAAACAGCCAGCAATGCCCACACCACTCCTTCCATGTCCTACCACAATATTAACCTCTTTTTCACTCCATCCCCCTCTCCCAGGTCTCGTCTCTTCTTTCCTCTCAAGCCTCATCTGCTGTCAGATTTTTGTATTTCCCTCCATCAGCACTATTCTGACATATTGTAGCACTATTGTATTCTGTTTTCAGCCCTAAGCCCTCTCTCTGTCTCCCGAGGCACGCTCTCCACCGCCAGACAGAGGTCAAAAGATCCACCGGCCGAATCTCTCAGGCTCAGTTTAGCGATTCTTTGTCTCTCTATCCGGCAGCCTCTCTGATCTCCGGAGATCAGGAAAGGATCCACTGGGATCATCTCTCAGCAGAGGGAATGGCTTGTGAAGTGCTTATTGATCACCTTGTTGTGTGTGTGCTCTCACACACACACACACACCCACGCATACACTGAGCTCAAATCACACAAACAGCCCTCCGCGTTTTGAGAAACAAAGCTTTACAGGAGCTCACTACAGCACGCACTCTTTCTCTCTCTCGACCAGACACTCAGGGAGTGCAAACAATACTCAACAACTCAGCCATTCCTGCCTCGCTGTCTGAACAGACACATGGAGCTCACGACTGGAGCGACAATGAAATAAATGCTTTGAAATGTCCAAGTGATAGCAAATAAAACAACAGACTAAATAATACACATTCTTTCCAGGTGACGCGCGTGTAGCAGTAGGTGCCAAGAGGGTCTTTAACGTGAAGTGGGTCTCTCTGTTCCCACCAGGCTGCGTGCAGAGGCGGTTTTGTCCCGCTGCCCGAGCTGTGTTAAACTAATTACTGGAGGTGTGACTGCTCAACAGACAGCCGCCTCAACAGCCGACCCCCTGCACACACACACACAGCAATACAGAGAAAAAAGAGGCTGTTTGCCAGAAAGAGGACATTGTACTGCTTTTTGCACTGTATGAAAAATGCATCTGTGATGATGACTTTAAAACCAACCAACAATGTGGTAAAGAAGTAAGTGGCCTCTGTATAGCCACAGAGACGGAGCGATTAGTGTCAGTGATCCTTACAGACACCTTATTTACTTCAGGCTTTCAGTGAACTCACTCTTCTTTTGTTTACTTCTTTGTTTTCTTCTTCTGTCCATCATGTGGCTTAAATTGGGCTGAGTGACTTTATGCTTATTAGACAAACAACCACAAATTTCAAAGCACAAAATCAACACATTGTTATTCAGAAAGGCATTTTAGTCTACCTTGTGTAACTTAAATCACTTTGATACTATCTCTTAAGATACATTTTATCAATTTGCATCATGCAACTGAACATAAGCTGAATTCCACAATAGATTTACAACACGGTGCAGCACTGATCCTAACTTTTTATGGTCAGATTTACGCGAGGATAGATTCTGTTTGTTTCAATATTGCTCTGAGTAAAGCTGTAATCTGTTAGATGTGGACATTAGGAGAGATTCAGCCTCTCTTCCCCTCCTCCATGAGCCATTAGGGGCAGACAGGAGAATGACGGCCCAGGAGAGAGGAGGAGAAACTCGATCCGTGCTCAGACTGCTGCACTACCGCTGGAGAGAGAGCCATTGTCAGGCAGCACTGGGCCCAACGAAAAGGATCGGCCATGCAACGATCACAAACGCATACTAATAACCAATAAAGTAGCCTGATCTCTGATCACTTCCAAATGCAACAGACTGAACGTAAATGTTACTGCGGTTGCAGTTTGTGCAGCGCACAGTTTTTTTATGCGAAAAGTGCGTAAAATTACAGATAAACTGCGATCATGACGGCGAGACACACTAGTTGTTGCAGTGTTGAAGTGTAGTTAGTTACCTATGTGAGCACCGCAGCAGAGAGCGATGATCAGCAGCAGCAGCGGCCGGAAGCGGCGCACCGGAGACGGGGAGGCGAGGCGCTCAGCCCCGCGGCAACAGCATCCGGCTCTCCCCATCCCCGTCCATGCAGGGCCAGGAGGGGAGAGTGGACGGACCTCCAAAGGGCGAGGACGGGTGGTGTCCAGGCCTTCTTACTTCTTCTTCTTCTGCCTCTTCTTCCTCACTCTTCTCTCCTTCTTCTCCACCTCGGGTGCGTACTGGCATTAAAACACAGCTGCTCCGCGGAATGCAGGGCGGAGGGTGTCGAAAGGCAAAGAGAGGAGGAAAACAAAGTACAAGTAGAAGTCACTCCGACGACACTTTTACTTTTCGCCCTGTACTAATCCACGGCCCCACGTGATTGTTAAGTGCGCTCGCTCCACGGTCGGACTTTCGCCTTGATTGTGATCACTGTGCTCTCCTCTCTCTCGTCCCAAACACGCACAATCACATCTCTCTCTTCCTCACCATGCAGGCCGGGGTTTCTCCTCCACTCCTCCCCTTTCACTTTCTCCTCCTCCTCCTCTGCCCCTCCAACAAATCAATAGAGAATCAACTAAACCCTGCTGGCGGAAAATCCGCCTACCACGAGAGAGAGATGGAGAGAGAGAGAGGGAGAGAGCAGTCTACAAAATAATAAAGAGGCTGGAGATAAAAGTTGTAAAAGGTTGGTAAGATGCCATTAAATCACTGTGTATACCGAAGAGAATAATATGCTGTAATGGGTAATGTAGTGCTGCCAAGGTATTTTATTTGGCAGAGAGAAAGCTGATCAACACAAACCTTCTAAGATATCAGCATACTTCCTAATCTGTGCACGTTTTTTCTTCTTCTTGCTACTCTTGCAAATAATACTAATAATAGTCCATCCATCGGAACTACAAAAGGTAACACATATAGTTACCTGAGAAAGGAGCAAACGGGTGTGCATATATATCATTTTCCTCACTGCTAGGATTTTAATCTGCTTTAGGATTTTTTGATCCACAATTTTGATATAGAGGAGTAATGTCCACCAGAGCAGAGAAGGAAGTTGCTCTCCCTCTGTGTGTGTTGTTATTCGAGCTTCTCCTTTCTTTGTTGACATAGCCGGGCCGGCCGTGCATGCTTTTAGTGCATATTAGCGTATGTGAGCTCACGACCGCCACTCTGCATTGCTTTCTTACAGCGGTTACAGCTGATAACGCCATTCCGCAGAAGCATAAAACCCACCCTCGGGTTCCCCTTCAGGTCAACGCTGTTAGCTCTGTCAGCACTTTCGCCTTAGTTTGCACTGTTAGCTGAGACCTGCCTGCCTGCTGGCCGTCACCATGTTGAGAGCAGTTGAGAGTCAATGGAAATGCTCCTGATCTCGGATCTTGCACCTTTAACTTTATTCCAAATAATTATGTGGCAGTTGGAAGGACCAACCTTCCCTCTCTGGATTTCTTGCATCTCTGCTTACATTATTGGCGAAAAGCACACAACAGAGAACAGAAACAGAACAGACACACAATGTGAAGGGAGCACCTTTGTGACACAAAGCAGTCCACACAGACATCAGAACACCGGCACATCAAACTGTAACAGTCGTAAATCTGTAACTGAAAAGAACAAAACTAGTGAGCAGATAATGTCAACACACCTAGGAGATTATGACAAGACACTACACTATATGCACAACAGCCTAAACCTTTGCAATTGCTATTGTTCCCTCCACGCAGCCACAACTCATAAATGAATCACTCCGCACCCACTTTCTGGAGGCTGTTGAAACGCATTTTAATGTTTTCTATTGCAAACGATTTTGAACGTGATCCAAACTCCCTTTTCAACTATGAGGTTATGGAGTAGATCATTTTTAGTGTGCATATCTACGGTGTGTTTGTTCTTTTAATGCTCAGTTGGTATTCTGTCAGGAGAGTAAGTGTGTCAGGGTGGCACAGTGCTGTAATTCTGTGGCCTAACGTTGCATGTGTACAGTGTGTTCATATGTGTGAATCAAGGTGTGTGTGTGTGTGTGTGTGTGTGTGTGTGTGTGTGTGTGTGTGT